GACATAAGACTTGAGGGCCTGAAGGGTTCAAAAGGCCAGCCGGAGGTCCGGGCACTTCAATGCCAGTCAGAGGGTCCTGCACGGACCAGGGCACCCTGAGTAGGTAACAGGCTATATGTCGGATCAAACACCATCAGAAATGCACATTCGGCTCCGCGGCGGCATGGGCCTCAGTGCCCATTTCTCAAGCAGGGGAAAAAGCGGAGCCGACGACTTACATTGGTCGCGGCCCCTAACGCCTAACAGGGACCCTGTGCTGGCAAAGGGCCCCAAATCGGTCAGAGGCAATGTTGGAGGAGTCCCGAAGAGCCTGGAGGACCCACCGGGTCCGATGATCAAGGACTTGATTGGAAGGTCTAATAGTACGAAAGACTGGTCGGTGTGTTATTCAGGGGTGCCGGCCTGCGGGGACTGACCCTCGAATGACAGTCAGAGAGCCCTTCGTACCGATCAGGGACATCCTGAGTCGATATATGTCTATTTTTCGGTCAGGCACCACCAGTGCTGCACAGTCCGCTCTGCATTAGTATTGGAACGAACAGTGGGAAGAAGAGCTGAGGGCCCATTTCCCAATCAGCTACAAAGCTGGGACCAGAGATTAACATTGGTCCGTGCACCTGTATCTACCAGTAGCACCCAGTACCTAACAGAGGGCCCTATACTCGCAATGGGCCCGAAGTGACCAAGGGCAGTGTTCGATGAGGTCCGAAGAGGGACCCGGGCGGCCCAACAGAACAGACTATCAAAGGCCCGGCTGAAGGGCATAACGGCCCGCAAGATTGGCTGTAGGTCGTATAAAGAATCGTGGTCCGTAGGGTGATGACCTGAAATATCGGTCAGACGTCCTCTTGTATCGTTAAGGACCCCTTGAGACAATGTGGATGTCTAACTCGGCCAGAGACCGCGAACACCGAACAGATGGCTCCCTGTCATCCTGAGCCTTGGGGGCCCATTTGCCAGACAGGAGCAAGATAAGGGGCCACGACTGGCATTGGTCTGGGTCTCTGGAATGGTGGTTGGGCCCCTTTGTCGGCCAAGGGCCCACAGTGCATGACAAGAGGATATATCTCTGCTAGTGGTCCCCAGTCGATCACGGACTTTGATGAGGCTCGAACAGGGACCGGAGGCCGCTGCGGAACCCAAGATCAACGGCACGATTGGACTCGGACCCAGCCCCCACCCGTAGTGCCATGGCTTGAAACGCCAGTCAGAGGGCTTCTTTTAGGTCCCTCTTGCTAAGGTTCTGCATCCATTTTTTTTGAGGCCTCGACACTGAGCCGAGCAGTCGGCTCCATGTCTGTCTGAGCTCTTGATACCCATTTCTAAAGCAAGAATGAGGCCGGGGCCCGCGATTTGCAATCTTCGGAGTCCCTGACAGAATGAGAGGCTCCTGTGTCGGCCAGGGGTCAGCTGCGCGGGTCAGAAGGCCTCCCGCGTCAGGGAGCGGACCAATATGACATGATGTATCACTATCAGGGCCTCCCGTCGGCCAGGAGATGCCGCCCCGTGTAGCCAGCATCACGGCCGGGCGACACACCGCGGTGGGACAGAATGGCCCGTCAGTCAACCCTTTACCGGGAACAGAAATGTGCCTCGTAGTGTAAATATATATATATATATATATATATATATATATATATATGACATCTTAGAAAACATTCCCTCATTAACAGATGGGTCATATCCGGTGATTTTTTGGCGGGCCCTTTGTTAACCATGTGCTCCTCCCTTGCCAAGGCTCTAGCTGCGCCTTTTGTCCCTGTCTGTGATTTTTCCAACTTAATTAACTTAATTCAGCTTAACTTTTTTAATGTGGCGTGAATTGAAATCAGTACGCTAAAAGCTACCAGTGGTATTGACTTAAATAACATCGTTAGGGTCCAGGCTTGATAACCAAACACTTTGCTGATCTCTGGAAGTCCTAAAATTGAATATGGCTGAAAACAGGCTATAACACCGTAATCAGCATGGCAAACAGTAACATTGATGGATTTTCAGAAGAAAATTGGTTGACCACACCCATCGTTAGTGCATCATGAAGCTCCAATGACTTGGAGCAAAATGGAAAGGGTCTGGGTTTGAATATATATATATATATATATATATATATATATATATATATATATATATATATATAAGAATATGACTGGTCTGCAAATGCAAACAGGTCTTCTGATCCATCAAACATATTTAGCCAGAAGACGAAGACAGTCGCCTGCTTAGAATATTTCCAACGAACGTGACGTCAAGGCATCGAAAACACACCCTTGAGGCGTACATCCCGACGTACCGCAACCTACATGTTATACCCGATATGGGATGCGTCGCCCCGCCCGAGACCAATCGAAATCTAGTAGTAGAAACTGCCATGCAAAAAAAAACTAAATAGCCTTAAAAACAGGAGCTTTCAACACCAATTCATGCAAATGCGAGCTTGTATAATTATACAAACATACCAGGGTGAGAAATTAGCTGTTGGTAAGATTCGGTTCAAAGGCATTGTTTCCAGGTGATTGTTTGCACGCCGAAGTATTATGCTTTCACAATGAAATTATTTGTAGGGCCTGACTTGCATCAGCGTAACACGCCATTGCTGTTGCCAAAACACGTCTTAATGAGTTTAATGTCGAGTAATCATTCATAACACCCACACACACACACACACACAGCTTCAATGGATTTGCAACCAATTAATGAGAGTTTCCGTGCAACACCTCCCAAACTACAAATGCTGCTAGTGTGAGTAGGGTCTCTGACATGATTAAAAGACTTGTTCGACATGCAAATAATCTTAGCTGGATACGAAAGGTCTGCTTATGCACACTAGTGAAATTGCATGGAAACCGTTTTTTGTCAGTGTTTAGTGTATATTAGAACCTCCTAGAAACACTTTCAACTTTTCAAAACTTTTCGGTCATTCAACTTAACGTGGAAATGGATTTCACGCAGGTAATGGATATGCAATCTGCATAAGAGAGCCCACATGCCCATGAATCTAACGTTTTATGTAAAACACATGTGAAACTGCGCACATTGTACAACATTGTGAAGCCAGCTGTGCGAACCAGCAAGCAGATCGTTTCTCAGGTGCAAACGCTAAAGGTATCGTGAGGTCCTGCGCCTTGGAGCCGTCCGACTCGCCGGTCGGGGTCCGGCCGACCCGCCGGCCACACGAGGGAGGGCGCCTTTTGCGCGCGGCGTGCCGCGGAGTGTGCCGCGATGCGGCCGGGGCCGCGTCCCCCTGTCTGCATTTCACTGACGCCGACCGCGTTGGATCGCGGCTACTTCTGGCGTGCGAGGGCAGCTTTGTTAGTACTTTCATTCATACCAGTTTGGAGGCGCCTGATAACGCACTCGACTTCTGGACGCTGACTAAGATAATGGTATGATAATGCTGCAGCTATCATAAATTCGGATATGGCACTAAAACAATACAAAAATAATGCAAAAATATGGCATTGATATGATACTAAAATTCCAGCTCTTGGAAAGGCACATGTTCGAATAAAAAGAGCGTAGGAAGATCTATGCGAAATAGAGCGGCAGCTTCCGCAAAGCAAATGCAGGACACGACCAGTCGCACGCAATGCTGCAAAGACCTGGCTTGATGAATCAAACTCAATTTCTGAGGTCCGAAGTCAAACCAGACTGCAAAGTACACCCATTGCCATAAGTTGTATGCATCCCGCGACGTGTCCCGCAACACGCACTGAAGGTGCATGCACCTTGAGCAGGCTGTTGGCAGTCTGCAAAGTATTCGATGCCGGACTGCTCAGTCACAAGCATTCCTAGGGTACGGCCAGCGGTATCGCGCCCACCTGCAAGGCCCAGCAGCTTTTCCCAAAGGATCTCATCCAAAGGATCCAAAGGATCTGGATCAGATTTCACAATGGTGGCCAGTCTCCTCTTGACCACCGCGGCAATTACCCAGCGGGGTGGCGGGGAGAGGCGGCGGTCGCCAGGCACCGCCACCGTGAGGGCGTGTGCGTGCGGAAAAGGTGGTCTTCTGACTCGCAAACACAGCTAGTTAACGCACCGTCGAAAAACCGTCCTACCAGTTCCGACCTCGAAAACAATCTAAAACTTCTTCGAAGCGCTTTGAACACTTTTCACGAAAAAGCTTAACAATACTGGAATGTCGGTACTGCCAAGCAATTCGGTACTGCCATGCGGGTGTGTATTCACACTTCGGAATCGTTAGGCTGGCACTTACAAACGCGCGCGCGCGCACACACACACACACACACACACACACACACACACACACACACACACACACACACACACACACACACACACACACACACACACACACACACACACACACACACACACACACACACACACACACACACACACACACACACACAGCCACCATATATATGTCGACGTGCGTTGCGTAAGTACCATTTGCCAAGGCCTTTTGGCATGATAAGCAATTGTTTCTAAGAACACCAATTTGCTTTCCAGAGGACCCCGTACCCGTTACATAGCCCATGAAAGACGCATCTGTTACTCTTCGATAATCTTTTAGCGCTGCCCGGTACAAATATGTGCGGAATGCTACGGTATTTTCAAACACTCGTAATTTAGTACACCTGTCCACTGCTTTGCTGCCAGCTGTTGTTCACCTCTCGAGTTGATCACAGCCGTAGTAGTAGATTTCACTGATATCCGACATAGGCGTCGTCATGTAGTATACACTACCAAACTTATCAATTTGTATCGTTGTCATATCTTATCGGTGTGTAAGGTACGCAACAAAACCTTATTTATTAAAATAATATCTCGTGAATTAATGAAGTTGTAGCAATTAGAAACTCTTTCAAAAAACCACTCAGACTTCTGAAGAAGTCTTCTTGACGTCATAAATATTAAAGCACAACAACTCTACTACGACTCGCTGGTACTGCCCCTGGCCCGGAAGGCTGTCATGCAATTTTCTGACGTCACGGACAGTATTCTACTACGATCAGACGCCTTCGCTTCCTCAGCCCCCAAATCCTTAGAAACCACTGCGGCGAATTGTGTTTGTGTGAAAGTACCCAATGGGATCGTATTTTCTGATATGCAAGAAAATTCCGCCCGAGTGTCAGTTCTGCGTTGAGTGAACGCCGTGTGGGAGTGGCTGGTGGAACTGTGCAGGGAGAAGAGGCGCTTTGTGGAACAGGAACGGTCTGCCAAAGTCCCAGTTTGGTTGATCAAGGACCACTGCCACTGGCTTGTAGGTGGTGGCTAATCCCATCATTAGCTTCGAAGAGGGGCTGTTGCCGTCTGGTGGGTGCATTTGTGTTTAAATGGTCTGGACACTAATGGGAGATGGGCAGCTGCTTTAGCAAAGACAAGAGGGATGTGAAGAGAGACTTGGTCTCTGGATCAGCGCCAGCTGATCGTCATGCTTTTCACACTGCCCTTGATGTCCCCAATCAGCAATCAACAGCAAATAGTCAGTTAGCACAACAACCAAGTGATGCTGGTGGGAGGTATTTAGTAGAATCACGTTTGAATGGGCCACCATTGCCATCTGTACCAGATAGCACACTTGCTACAGCAAGCAATGCTAAGGTTTTTGTTGCTTTGTATGACTATGATGCAAGAACAACTGAAGATTTGAGTTTCAAGAAAGGGGATCATCTGGAAATATTGAATGATACTCAGGGAGATTGGTGGTATGCCAAGAGCAGAACAACATATCAAGCAGGCTACATCCCATCTAACTATGTCGCAAAATTGAAGTCCATTGAAGCAGAGCCGTAAGTATTCTGTATCTCTTTCACTTGTAAAGTGGTGTTTAGGGTTTAGGATGGGGGTCAGTTTTATCAGAACATTTTTTATTTGTATTTTTTATTCCAGTAACAGCTGGGTTCATCATTAAAGGAAATAATTAGTGTCTTGTACCCAGTGAGGCATATTGAGAATGAATTTATGCACACAACCTATGAGATTTAGACTTTGGTTGCAATCTTTCATCCTGTCATGGAACTGAAAAAATTATGCATGCTCTGCAGCAGATAAAACATCAATACCTTTATATCAAAAGGTTAATAGAAGGTGCATTGCATGGAAAGGACTTATGTGATAGGGTTAAGTATATGCTAGTCATATGTTGATGATGTTGAAAACTGGAATATTTGAAGGTCTAGCTTAGATGGCTAATAAATTGAATGTTTTACTATTTGGTCAGAATTCACCTGAATCCTGAGATTTTGGTGTTAGCTGTTTATGGGTACATTGTGTTCAATGTAAATATGTGTGTTACGTACCTGAACTTCCTAAGTGTGGGTGCTGCAGTAGTCCAGCAACTTGTTACATCAAAGTTCTCAGTGTCTGCAAGCTACTGTTTGAGTGAAAAATGGGTCCCAAGATGAGAGCTTGGTTGAGATTTCTTAAGATGAGTCTGTGGCAGCTCATCAGGCAGAGTACTTTATTTTCAGGTCACCGAGGCTGAAATTATTGTTGTTTTGGTTTTTGACTATTGCATGTTGGGTAGTTTCATTGTTGGTTAAGTCATTCATGGATTAGATGTGTCTAACATGTTCATGATTATTCCTCAACTTTTCTGTGTTGTGTTTGCAGGTAAGACACGGTATTTCTAGCTTGTACGGACAGTGCCATTTACTGTGCTTTCCTGCTTCTGTTGGTCTTGTTTGCCTGCATGCATGCATATTTGTATGCAGACATAATGGTCTGCTTGCAAATACATCATGATATGATTGCTGTTACTGAGGGGTGTCACAATCTTAAATGGATTTGGGGGTGCTGAAGCAATAAAGGTGACCTCTCTGACCCCAAAATCTTGATAACTTCCCAGATTTTGGCCACCTGAATTTGTGTCCTTATGCTAAAATTGATATAAGATAGTATTTTATTGGTTCTGAACTTAAGTTATTGGTGAACGACATCCCATTTGAAGCTGATGTGAATGTGATAATGATAGTGATGTTGTTAGGGTCCTTGTGTACCAGCAGCTCGGACAAGGCTTGTTGCATTTCATTGGTTCAGTATTTCATGTTTTGTTCATACATTGAAGGAGGGCTCAGAAGGGCATTGGAGGCACATTCTCCCCCCCCCCCCTCCCAAGCATACAAAGTGACACCTCTGCAGTGAGTGGTACTGCTGTGAGAGGAGAGAAGTCTCACGTTTTGGATAGTATCCAAATAAATATATCTGGTCAGTAGACTTTAAGCTGCCATTGTGCAGTGTGCGGACATCTGTCAATTCCGCTGTGGAGTTGTCTTAACTAAGCCTCATCCATCAGTTGTTTGAACCTTTCACACTTCTGCAGCAGGCCATAATATCAAAATACAATGTTCTTTGCCACATGCATATATCCAAGCATCTATCCTGCCTATCACCCCAAATATTCACCATCATCACCACTGTCTGCAGATGGTACAATGGCAAGATCAAGCGGATCGAGGCGGAGAAGAAGCTGCTGCTGCCAGAGAACGAGCATGGCGCCTTCCTCATCCGCGACTCTGAGTCGCGCCGCAACGACTACTCTCTGTCGGTGCGCGACGGCGACACGGTGAAGCACTACCGCATCCGACAGCTGGACGAGGGCGGCTTCTTCATCGCCCGCCGCACCACCTTCCGCACGCTGCCTGACCTGGTGGAGCACTACAGCCGCGACGCGGATGGACTCTGCGTCAACCTTCGCAAGCCCTGCATCCAGGTGAGAGAGTGTCCCCGCCCTGTCCGCGCTGTCCCGTCTGTGCTCGGAGTCCGACTGACACTCTGTCATACTCCGACTGCGCCTCCACCATCGTGTTCTCCTGTCGCTCTGTGCCCGATGGTCTGACTGTCTGCCCGGCCTGTGTTCTGACGCTGCCCTGTCCGCCGTGCGTTCTGGCGCCACTCTGCCCGGTTTGTGTTCTGAGGCCACTCCGTCCTGCCTGTTTTCTGACGCCACTCTGCCCGGTTTGTGTCCTGACTCCGTTCTGTCCGGCCTGTGTTCTGACGTCGCTCTGCGCTGACCCGGTCCAGGTCGAGAAGCCAGTGACGGCCGGCCTGTCGCACGACACGCGCGACCACTGGGAGATTGACCGCACTTCGCTCAAGTTCGTGCGCAAGCTGGGCCAGGGCCAGTTCGGCGAGGTGTGGGAGGGCCTCTGGAACAACACTACGCCCGTGGCCATCAAGACCCTGAAGCCAGGTGAGTGGCCGCCGGACGGGGTCACGGCTCAAAGAGGGGTGGGTGTGAAAGGGCCTCTGGAACAACACCACCCCCATGACCATAAAGACCCTGAAGCCAGATGAGTGGCTGCCGGACGGGGTCACGGCCCAGAGCGGCCGCCTCGCCGCACCTCTGTCAGCCCTCTTTGGCCCTGTGTCACATGCACGACGTCGTTAGATAAGCTGTTCAGCTGTTGGTGGGTAGCATTGCTGAGAATGCTGTTTTTTCTCTGGTCACTGCTTGCTATCAGCTCATGTAAAAATAAACGTGAGTCTCGATGGCCCTTAAACCCGAGCCTCGAGCCTTGAGCAAGTTAATCATACGGCGTAATGCTTTTTAAGAGCCACTTGGATGTTTTGCAGCTGAACATTACTTTAACTATTAACGTGACTTTGGGTGAGTGTCGTGCGACTCCGCCACTGCATCGTATGATAGGCTCGCCTCATGCTTATTGGAACGCACGACTCCAGACCCGGTGTGCCCGTGTAGCAGTCCAAAGGTGGCCAGAAGACGTCCTCTGAAACTGGCACGCCCTAAAGCATCAATACATCGCCAGTCCTCACAGCCAGCGTCATGCTTTTGCTAGGCACCATGGACCCGAGGGACTTCCTGGCTGAGGCGGCCATCATGAAGAAGTTGCGAGACGCGAAACTCATCCAGCTGTACGCCGTCTGCACGCTGGAGGAGCCCATCTACATCATCACCGAGCTGATGAAGAACGGCAGTCTGCTGGAGTACCTGCAGAGCAGTGAGTGGCGCCGACGAGCATCTCCTCCCCCTCCCAGGACACACGGCGCTCTCCTTCCTCCCAGAACTCACGGTGTTCTCACTGGCTGGGAGCCAGTTGGCTGCACGGATTGCGATAAAGGTGACGGTCGTTTGGGATTAAGGGCATATCGATTGCCTGATTCATGTAGTCCCCATAGCTTAAGTGTTAAAAGTAGCTGGATTATCAGCATTCACGACGTGATAGTATGTGTTGTAAGGCGCTCAACATATTGAAGGAGCAGATTATTTTTTCATCCAGCCGCACGCCTTCGGCTAAACGTTCGTCGCAGTATTGGTGTAGAGTGGCCAAAATATCGGACAGCTGTTTGGGAATGGCCTGTCGATTTGAATCACATATTTTTTGAGAAGCACTTCTTGACTGAAGTACTTGTACCGATCCCAAAAAGCGTTGTTTTTTAGCCGCATGCATACAAATTTGCAGCATCTCCTCTTGAACAAAAAATATGGTGCGTGTCGCGCAGTCAGCTTTTCGGCTAAATCGGCTCACTTTATCCGATGCGAACGAGGAAAGATGGTTTCTTTCGTTGTGAAGACAGGGTTGCCCCCTGACTCCACGCCTGCCATCGTGTAAGGCGTGGGAAGTATTCACAGCAACCCGGACGACAAGGATGCACGTGACGTCACGTACTATCTTTGCCGGACGCGCAGAATCTATTTTCGCGACTTGTCCCACGTCATGTACGTGACGTCAGCCACCGTCGCCCTTTGTCCACGTTTTGCTCATCTTTTTTATCGGTATGAATTCACTTCCATGTGGATAGTGTCGGCATTGGTGAAGGCTGGTTTTAAGGTTGGTATACTTGAGTGGGCGGGGGGGGGGGGGGCAGCAAGACGTGCGGCACTGTCTTGTCGAGGCACGGTTCAGATGGCGGGTCTCCACAGGGACGGATGGGCCCTGAGATGAGTGAGTGCGCACAAGGTGTGAGTGCTGACGGGAGTGTTGTGCGCAACGGGGTGGTGTGAAAATGTGGCCACGTGGCCACTGAGCCTACGCCACTCCGTGATTTCAACATGCAGTTTTATCAGCGCAGGGTTTCGTGGTTTACGTGTTTTGTACAAGTCACATAAATGTGTTGTGTAGTCTATGTGCCCCACAAAATGGTCACAGCACTTGGCGCACTTTAAAACTCTTACCATCACCGCCATTCGAGTATTTGTTCGTTGCGTATTTGTCTTGAGTGTGATCCTATGCGCCCGCAGTGGGCCACAGACGCACGCTCGTGCGCCTCGTCACTGATCAGGACTGGCTTGCACGTGACGAACTTGCTAACCGGGCCGTCGGTCGTTCACTAGCGGTCACCTATGTGGGATATGCCGATGCTTGGCGCCATTCGTGCACTCTGCAGCGGTAAAGCCAACAACGATGAGGCGTCTCGACTGAGCAGAGGTTGAAACTTCCGGACAGAGGAGAGGTTGAGGCGACTCAACAGAACACGTGTTGAAGCGTCTCGACCGAGCAGAGGTTGAAGCTTCCGGACAGAGCAGAGGTTGAAGCGTCTCGACCGAGCAGAGGTTGAAGCTTCTGGACAGAGCAGAGGTTGAAGCGTCCCGACCGAGCAGATGTTGAAGCTTCCGGACAGAACAGAGGTTGAAGCGTCCCGACCGAGCAGAGGTTGAAGCGTCCCGACATGCTCTGCACGTGGCAGCGATGTATGCGGGTCTGGGATGGCGCCAAAGACCACCGGACCATGGCGCACCTTTTCTGCTGATGCTTGACCGTATCGATGTCATCTCGCATGTATCAGTGTTACGCACACAGGCGCGCACGCCACATACGCATGCACAGTCCTCGGGTCTCGAGCCGTCCGGCCCGAGCCACGCTGGTCGTCCGGCTCCGTCTCCGCTCTATCACCGCTCCGGCCCCACTCCGTCGCCACCTCTTCTCCGCTTTATCACGGCTTCCTCACCGCTCTGTCGTCACCCTGTCTCTGCTCTATCGCCGCTCCGTATCCGCTCTATCCCCGTCTGGTCTCCGCTTTATCACCACTTCCTCTCCGCTCCGTCTCTGCTCCGTCTCCGCTCCGTCTCCGCCGCATGCGCGGGTTGTCCGTCCGCGTCACGCCCGCCGATACGGGCCCCCGTTCGCCTCGGACGGAGACTGCGGCGGCGGCCGTCCGCTCCGGGTGGAGATTGCTGCAGCCGGCTTCCGTCGGAGCGCCACATGGTTAGTCGGCAGTCAGCTGATCAGGTCCCGCCAGCGTCCGGCCAGAGACCCCAGCCAGGACTGGCTGCTGCCGGTCGGGAAGTCCCGCTGCTGCCGGGAGGGGAGTCTCGCTGCTGCTGGTGGCGCTCCGTCCGGAGGGGGCCGGGCTGAGGGCGAGTCCAGCCAGCGGCACCTGCCAGGGCTGGCTGCTGCCGGTCGGAAGTCCGGCTGCTGCCGGCGGCGCTCCGTCCGGAAGAGGCCGGGCTCAGAGTGCGTCTCTGGAAGTTTGGCTCGGGTGCTGCGTTTGGTGTAGGCTGTGCCGGTGCGAGCGGTCGCTAGTCGCGGTGCCGCAGGTGGAGGGTGGGCCGGCATGGTCCCCGCGGTCGGAGCAGACCCCGTGCAGGGATGCGCACCGCGCCGCACTACGCTCGGGGTCGGGCTGCGCGTCCTGGTGGTCTGCGTGCCCGATATGACGGAGCTGGCTTTGTGAGATATCACGCCTGGCAGCTGTTGGTTGTGATGTGTTGTATTTAGTGCCAGCGCTAGGTCGATACTAGCTCAATAGTTTGTAATGCTCCGATATCCGGCACTAATTCAGTGCGTGATACACACTTGATACACGCGTGTGTGCGTGATACACACGCGCGCTTGCCAGTAACGTCTACGACACTCCACTAGTCTCAAATGGATTGTTATGGCCGTGTTTGGATTTGATCTTGCTCGGGCCTGAGGTGGCGGGGGGTGACCTCGGGGCGTTGCCGCGGCGGTCGCTCTGTTCCGGGTAGCAGCCGCCGCCGCCGGCCGATACCCCGCCGCCGGCGCTGGTCTCTATCGGGACACCCGTGCCGCCGCCGCCGCCGCCGCCGCCGTCGCCGTGGGCGCCTAGTGAATCATCAGTTATCGATCACTGAAAAAGCGAGCCGCGGCCTGTGCCGGCAGTCGTACTGTCTGGTAGATGTGCTCGGGCGGGATTGGCACCGTAGTGACGTAGAACCGGCGCCGGCTTATCAGATGCCGCCCGCCAGCGAGATTGCCTCGAGACAAGGGCTATGTTAACCCTCGCCAGCGAGATTGCCTCGAGACAAGGGCTATGTTAACCCTCGCCAGCGAGATTGCCTCGAGACAAGGGCTATGTTAACCCTCGCCAGCGAGATTGCCTCGAGACAAGGGCTATGTTAACCCTCGCCATGAGAGTGCCTCGAGACAAGGGTAAGCTATGTTGATCCCCGCTGCCGATAGTCTTCGGACAGGGGCTAGCTTTGTTTACCCTCGCCCAACGGGAGTTTGCTCACTTCCGCTCTACGTGAGGACCTCAGGGTCCCACTCAGATCACAACAACTAAGCAGGCGTGAGTCTCGCGGAAAATGACAATGGAAACTCCTCGTTAAACTCTACCACATGGATGCCTATATGCATGCGCCCCCCCCCCCCCCCCCTCCCGCCGCCCGCCCCGCCCCCCTTGCAGGACGAGGGAGGCTGGTGATGGACCGGTCGGTGTACCGGTGTGGCTTCCAGCAGCGCGTGTTGTATTGGGCGGCCGTATTGCGTGCTCTCAGCCAATGGCTCAGTTTATTTCAACGTGTGACTCGGTCACCAGGGTCAACCTCGGTGCAACCGTTATTCGGCGTGGCTTTATCTGCCGACATGCCACCCCATATGCTGACCCCACATACCTGTGTAGCTGTGCACTCACTGTCCCCGCACCGCCCTAGTACACATCGCCCCACATAAGCTGTGGCGCTGTCTGCAACCGCGTGACCCGGCTGCCGGTCGCACGTCCTCCGCTGACCCCGGGCGCGCTGAGACCTTCCCCCTTATATCTCCTGAGAGACTCCCGCCTGATATGAGATCTTCCAACGCTGATATCTTCCCCGCCGAGGTCCTCCCCCGCGGGGCCTCTCCGCTGAGATCTTTCCCCGCTGAGGGCGTTCATTCGCTGAGATCTCCCCCCCTAGAGACATTCCCCGCTGAGACCTTCGTCGCTGAGACTTCCCCCGCTAAGACCCTCCTCCGCTGAGAACTTGCGCCGTGGAGACCTTGCCCCGCTGAGAACTTGCGCCGTTTGAGACTTGCCCCGGAGACCTTCCCCCTGAGGTGCCCTCCGCTGGGACCCATTCGCCGAGACCCAAACACCCCTTCCTCCTCGCCCACTGAAACTTGCTGTCGTTGAGTGCCGCCTGCTTTGGGCCCCCATCTCCGTCAAAACCTGCCCCCACTGAGCCCCGCCGTGTCCGACAGTCCGCGGCAAGGCGCTGAAGCTGAACCAGCTGATTGACATGGCGGCCCAGATCGCGGCCGGCATGGCCTACCTGGAGAGTCAGAACTACATCCACCGCGACCTGGCCGCGCGCAACGTGCTGGTCGGCGAGAACAGCATCGTCAAGATCGCTGATTTCGGTCTCGCGCGGCTTATCAAGGAGAACGAATACGAGGCGCGCGTCGGAGCCAGGTCAGTGTGGTGGTGGCGGGCCAGGGCGGGGCCGTGACGAAGGAGGGGTGCGATGGGTCAGGGCGGGGCGGTGACGAGGGAGGGCAGCAGTGGGTTAGGGCTGGGTGATGACGAGGGAGGGCAGCGCTGGGTCGGGGCGGGGCGATGACGTGGGAGGGCAGCGGTGAGTGAGCGCTTGGGGGTGATGAGGAAGGGCAGCGATGGGTCAAGGTGGGGCGGGTGATGGGGAGGGCAGCGGTGGGAGAAGGCGTGGCAGTGACGAGGGGGAGGGCAGCGGTGGGTGAGGGCGGGGCGGTGACGAGGGAGGGCAGTGGTGAATCAGGGCGGGACGTTGACGAGGGGGGGGGGGCAGCGATGGGAGAGGGCGGGGCGGTGATGGGGAGGGCAGCAGTGGGTCAGGGCGGGGCGGTGATAAGGGAGAGCAGCGGCGGGTGAGGGCGTGGTGGTGACGAGGGAGGCAGCGGTGCGTGAGGCTAGTGTGGGACAGGATCATGGCAGGCCGGTGACGCCGCAGAGGTGAGCCGGGGGGGGGGGGGGGAGGGCGGCGCTGGGTCAGGTTAGATCGAGGGAGGTTAAGTCAGCGCAGTCCCGGTCCCGACAGGGCCGGCTGGAAGCACACCAGGCCAACGGGGTGGGGGTGGGGTCGGACGTCTTATCCGAGCCAGATCGTTACTACATCTTTGTTGGAAGTGTTGCCAAGATGCCTCAGAGGTGACGGAGGTGGGTGACGGGGAAGTTGCGCCTGGCGCTGAGGCTCGATGGCGCGGCCCTGTGACCTTCTGTCCCGTAAAACCGATCCGTGTGGGGCTGTGATGACTACAGCTGCTACAGGGCTACAGCTGCCCCCCCCCCCCCCTTCCTGGCGGCGTGTGGGGCTGATAAGCTGATCGTCATCGTCCGGATTCGGCTTGCAAGGGATACGGTGCTCCTGTCCTGCCATCTCTGGCCGGTGACTCGAAACAGCGGCGGACGGCGCGTCCAGTTAGCTCCGGCTGGGACTGACTTGACCGCACCGCGCGTCTGTCGACGGCTTTTACGCCGCTGGGGTGTGATGTGCGTACTCTCTTCGCTATCGGAGCTGTGTAGCCCCGCAGCTGTGCCACAGGTGGCGCAATGTGGGCCAAGGGCACTGACGTCGTGCACCAGGGTCACAGGGTCACCGGGACATCCGATGGCCGAACTTCTGACGGCTGCGCTCTGTTCCGTGAGCAGATTCCCGATCAAGTGGACGGCGCCGGAGGCGGCCAATTACAGCAAGTTCTCCATCAAGTCGGACGTCTGGTCGTTCGGCATCCTGTTGACGGAGCTCATCACCTACGGACGCATTCCCTACCCAGGCGAGTGGCGTAACAGCCGGCGGCGGTGGTCGGGGCTCAGGCGGCCCGCTCTGTGTTCCATGCGCAGGCTGGTGTGCTTGTGGGGTTGTTAGCACGGCTGAGGCGTAGCTGGCGAGAGCTGTTACAGCTGCCGGGTGAGGACTCTCACACCACGTGGTGTTATGCGGTACTGTCAAGTAGTCGGACGTCGGCGCTCGCTGCTGATGCGTTGGTCAACTGCCGGATCCTGTTTGTTATGTGGTGGACTCGTCTGTTTGTGTTTTTACCGTTGTCCGCTGAGCTCGTTCTTGGTAGACGTGCTTACCCCGCAGTGTATGGGAAGGTTTTTGCACTTAGTACCGGTATGCTCGGTGGCGGGCCGTGTTTGGTTGTGGATGCCGGCGCATCTCCAGGGGGCAGCACCGACGGTCCGCCGGCCGTCTCTCGACCGGCGAGAGCGGACTGGCGGACGGCCTGGACCGGCCCCGCTGGCGGCGGCGGCGGTCACCCCACAGCGACACCACCTGACATTGCCGAGGCCTCAGCACCCGAGCTGGCCGCCAGTTGACGTGTGTCGCGCATTTAAGGTGTTAATGTCGCGAGCATATGAGCCCAGGTTGTTTTGTGAGGCGAATGACAGCCGGCATGCGCGAGCGAACTGGTGATGCACGAAGCCCGGGTCGAGCTGCGCACGCAAACCTCGGCCTACTTTCGGCCGGCAGGATTCCGTTTCGTCCCGGTCCAGTCCGTCGCATTAAACTGCCTAGGGTAGCGCGTGTCACTGTCCTTAACTTGCTGTTGTGACGATCTCTCCGGAGCCGGGCGCGCTCGGTCCTCAATGTCGGGCATGCTGCCCGCTGCCTGTCGGCTTGGCACAGCTCGTGACGGCCGGCCGCCGTCTGCGACGTCGCTGACCGGCCCTGTGCGTGACCTCCGGCCAGCCCGGCTGACGGCTGGCTCTGTGGGGGACCGGGCGGCCCGTGGCTGATCCGCAGCTGACCGTCCGCCGTCGGTGCCGTTGCAGGCATGACGAACGCCGAGGTGCTGCATCAGGTGGAGCACGGCTACCGCATGCCGGCGCCACCCAGCTGCCCGCCGCAGCTGTACGACATCATGCTGCTCTGCTGGAACAAGGACCCGATGAAGCGGCCCACCTTCGACACGCTGCAGTGGCAGCTGGAGGACTTCTTCTCGCAGGACTCCACCGAGTATAAGGAGGCGGCCGGCTTCTAGGCGGGCCCCCGTTGTCTGGCCGCTGCTGCGACCCAGTCATGTTCGCCCCTTGCCAGCAACTGCCGCGGCCGGCAGCGCGCCGCCGCTGCCGCTGTCGCCGCCGCCGCCGTCGCCAGCCGTCGCAGCCGCCGCCGCCGAGCTCCGGAGCGGGTCCGGACGTGTCGCCCGCTCACGAGACCATAGTGGGCTCGCGGCCGCGGCCCGAGCGTCCTTCCCAGGCCGGGTCGGCTCCGGTCGCCCCGCCACAGGTGCTTCATCCCGTGATGAGTGTTGATGCGAGCGGGAGAGAGGCCCGCCCAGTCCTTGGTACGGTTGGATCGGGGAGGAGGTGTGAGGCTTCGCTATTGGTGTGGTTTTGGTTTGAGAGAAGAATCGACTACGTTCTCAGTGTGCATGTAGTGAGAGGGAAAGAGAGAGAGAGAGAGAGAGAGAGAGAGAGGAGAGAGAGGGAGAGAGAGTGAGCTACGTTCTCAGGCTTGGCTCCGTGTTCTTGGGCGCAGTGGGGGTCTTTATTGGGTTGCTGGTCCGATCAGCCAGGGTGGAAGAGAGGGAGTAGAGGAGGGGGAGGGGGGGGAGAGAGCTAGCTGCATTGCGCGCGTGGACGATCCTCAGTGGTCCCGTGTCTGAGATGGCCTTCCCGACCCCCATGTTCAGACGTGTATGTATGGGGGAGAGCCCGGTGACCTGACTCCGGCACCGTCGTGTTCCGGTCACGCCAGGTCACCGAATCAAACGCCGACGGCTCGCTGCCCGCCCGGGGTTACGTTTAGGTGCTGCGATTGTTCGCTCTGACGAGACGGTCGGGCCGGAGCGGCCGAGCCGGACACCGCGCCTCTTGATTCCGCTATTCAAGGCTATTTTTGTACATTGCCCTTTATAGATGATTGGGTCGCCGGAAGCCAGGCAGGTGGATTAGGTATTTTATGTAGATATGTCTCGTTTCGTATCCTTTTTACGCCGATTTCCAGTGATGTGGTCGGCAGCGCCGGTCAGCGTCGCGAATCAGGAGACCCCGGAGATCTAGTGTATTCAGTTGCCGTCGGTGGACTCGGCCGCCGAGGGCGCACCACACGCCCCGTTTATTTGTAGCCAGGAGCCCGGGACCGGCCGGCGCCCGTCGGCCGCGCCGGACGAGCGGCGTCAGCCACCCGTGTCGGCGCGGCGCGCTCGGGCGGCCGGGCCCGGGCAGGCCCTCGCTTCAGTGCTTTATTCGCTTGCTCTCGTGAGGCCGCCTGACCATTGGGGCCCACGCTCTGCATTGCACGACCAGGTGTACCATTACCAATAAGGTGCGACAGCGATTTCATGTTTGTGATGGAGCATGATCGGTGTGAGTGTATTTTTAGCTGCAACGTGGATTTCAGTATTCTCTGTCTTCGATGCGTCAAGCACACAGTGATCGCCGGGATCGGAGTCGCGCCCCCGCACTCTGCCTGCAGCCGATTAAACGCCCTTTATGCTGTCCTGTCCTCTACGTTATTTTAGCATTAGCCTAATAAATCAGCACCATGTGCAGCGGTGTTGTTTCTGGTGATCCGGTCTGGCGCGTCCCGACGCGTGCCATCGGGCGCAGAGTGCCGAGTGGTGCGGCAAAATGACACGAAGCGCTCGCACGGCGCGCGCCGCCCAAGCGCCGACGTCGCGCGTGGTGGTGCGTACGCCGGTGCAGACGCCAGCTGGCGCCGTCTGGGCGCCAACATCCCTCGGCACCTCGGAGGACGTCCGCCCCCCCCCCCCCTCTCTCTCTCGGCGAGGGGGGTTTGCGAGTGGTCCCTTCTGCGGTCCGGTGTCCGGCACGACTATTCGGCTTGGGCAAGCCCAGGTTCTGGGCCGGCCTGGTCTAACTGTACAGTGGCCTTGATCATTGCACTTCATTGCGCCACTGTTGAGCTGGGATTTGAAGGACCGCGGTGGTCAGATGCTTCCCGGGTAACCAGACTCGGCGAGAGCCCCGGGAACGAACTGGTGCACGGCTTTCAGCGTCCAACCAGGCATCCTGTTGGCAAATGGTTACAGCGACGTTTGCCTTTGAGGACTTCAGCAGACTAACACGACTTATTTTGTTCACTTTCCAAATCTGTAGTGACAAGACGGCACGGGATGAATTCGCTGTGAATAGGTTTGTATTTTGACAACTATGGAAATGCATCCTTTAACCGCCACTCACTAGTGGTGTCCTGGCCTCCCAACACTGACCCATGTAACCTACTTAGTTGCCTCAGCTTCCTACTTTGTTTTCGAAAAAAAATATTTAGCTTATTGCACGGGTCAGCTCTGTGAAAACCATCCCGTGTCGGACATGTGGAAGTGGCTGGCTCTGGCTAAGATCTGATCTGCTCTGCTCTGCTCTGCTCTGCTCTGCCCTGCTCAGCCTGTCGTCCGTGGCTCCACGGCGGCAAGAGGCGGCTCACGACTGAAGTGACGCGCCCAGCAGTGCGCTGCCGTCAGAGACTGGAGTGACGCGCCCAGCAGTGCGCTGCCGTCAGAGACTGGAGTGACGTGCCCAGCAGTGCGCTGCCGTCAGAGACTGGAGTGACGTGCCCAGCAGTGCGCTGCCGCCAGAGACTGGAGTGACGTGCCCAGCAGTGCGCTGCCGTCAGAGACTGGAGTGACGTGCCCAGCAGTGCGCTGCCATCAGAGACTGGAGTGACGTGCCCAGCAGTACGCTGCCGTCAGAGACTGGAGTGACGTGCCCAGCAGTGCGCTGCCGCCAGAGACTGGAGTGACGTGCCCAGCAGTGCGCTGCCGTCAGAGACTGGACTGACGCGCCCAGCAGTGCGCTGCCGCCAAAGACTGGAGTGACGTGCCCAGCAGTGCGCTGCCGTCAGAGACTGGACTGACGCGCCCAGCAGTGCGCTGCCGTCAGAGACTGGAGTGACACACCACCTCAAATGTGCACGACAGTTATCATGTCACTTTACGCAGGTGTGAGCTCCTGCTTGAAAAAACTGAGCCCTGGTCCGGCTACCTTTGTTTTTATCGTCGAGTTCAGACCCGGGCGGACACCGCTGCGCTCTTCCGCACGAAATCCCCGGTGGACAGCATGGCGAGCTGAGTCATCTTCCGGTTGAGTGCGGCGTGGACAGTCCCGAGTCGACTCTGACTCCGGTCCTACTCGAGGCTTGACTCAATGAGATGCAGGCAAGACTCTGTCACTAACCCGTTTTACGGGCTGCATAACGGCCATCACGGGCCTTGAATTTGGCTTAAGACGACGGAGATGTTACGGTTGTTCCACTAAGCAGTGCGCCGCTGGCAGACTGCATCTGCCTAAATGGTCGCTCTGACGCTTGACATATCCATGATTCCGATCAATACACGATGCTCGTGATGGTAATCATCGATTCCGATCAATGCATGACGTTCGTGATGATCATGATCAGGCTCACGCATTGGCAACTCCTTCCCGATGTCAATGCACGAACGAGGCTGTATTCCGATTCTGACTCGCTCGGTGTTCCAAAGCAGCTGCGCGTTCATTCCATTAGAATACAACACCCTTCCATGTGCAGCCCAGACTCCAGGACATGTCTGTCCTATCAATGAACCACTGGACGACCAGGCGGCGTGGTATAGATGAGGAGGACGCGCCCTGCGGGACGCCCGGCCACGGTAGCCTTGCGAAGGGCCTCAGTCGCTCGGCAAGCACTAGTAGACCACCTTCAGTGAACTTAAAGTCAGCAAGAAAGGCCTTGAAATTCTTGTTTACGGTGTTGCGAGTTAAGAGCTCTGATTTTCACAATTATTGACCTTCATTATGCCATGAGGTACTGGTTAAACGGCCCTGATCACGTACACAGCTTGAGGCGTCCAAACCCCCAACTCACAATGCCTTTTGGCGAATGCCGCCTCGCTCAAATCCTTTGAGTTCGTTGCTCTACGTTGAAACACAAACTCGCTGACGTCATCCGCCTTCTAGCGCCTCTCGCCGCACGTCCCAGTAATAACATCACGAGCCGCATAAAGATCTATTCACATCGTCAACAGCGGCGGGACACTAGGAGGGCTCGCACGTGACGCCGTCGAACCTGCAGGCTCGCCTCGATCCGACACTCAGACAGAGCTGATGTCGGCCTCCGCGGGGGCCTCTCTCGCTCCCGCACAAGGCCATCCCACGGCACCTCTCACATCTCCCTCGTTCCCGCGCAAGGCCATCTCACGGAGATCTCTCGCTCCAGCGCGACACCATCCCACAGAGATCTTTCTCGCTCCGGCACACGGCCATCATGCGGAGATTTCTCGCTCCCGCACACGGCCACCCCACGGAGATCCATCTCGCTCCCGCACATAACCATCCCGCGGAGGTATCTCTCGCTACCGTACACAGCCACCCCGCGGAGATATCTCTTGCTCCCGCACACGGCCATCCCACGGAGATCTCCCTCGCTCCCGCACACGGCCATCACGCGGAGGTATCTCTCGCTCGCGCACACGGCCATCCCGCGGGGATCTCTCTCGCTCCCGCACAAGGCCATCCCACGGAGATCCACCTCGCTCCCGCACGGGGTTCTCCCTTCCTCCCGCGCACGGTCAACACGCCACCGTCGCGCACGGCGCAGCCTACGGAATGAGGCGGTAAACGGTAAGCACTTGGACAGCGGCACCGGTGCGCTGCAGATGAGCATGCATCTGGCTCCGGGCGTCCACGATAGCGCAAATGTACTCAATGCGACGGTCCATTAAAGGCCAGAATGGAACTTATGGTGAGTATTGCCAAAAGGCAGAACTTGGGCTGGAGCCCTCCAAGCTAGTTATCAAGCTCTGGTGCGTCTGATCGCAAGTTAGCTGTGAAAGTTCTCAATTGAGGTGGGGCGCCCGCGGGTCGCGAGGCATGGTGCACGTGTACACCTCAAAACGTACGAATTTAAATACTTGTATTCACTTCAGTTGCGCCCAAACTCGCACAACACTCGATTTATGAGCGTTTGGGTCTCTTCGGCCCAGCTGTTTAGATTACACTGCATGGTCCGTTCACCGAAGTACAGACGGAGGAGACGGAGCAATCCGACCGAACCAGACACGAGCTTATCGGCTGGGTATCAGCCTGAATTGATGCACTGTCCCGAACGACGCTACATACAGCTCGAAGTTCTCACATAATGCACAAGCATACATGCTGTGACGACTCCAGACGGACCCACCCATCCGCATCCCCTCCCCGATCCGGGGAGTGCGCCACGCCGGACATAGTATAGTGTACCACACATAGGGCACACTACGGGCACCTCGGACGTTTTCAGCTCGCCACTTTAGAACGATAACCTGGATTTAAAAAGACATCCTATGACAAGTTGCCCGCAGCTGGCGAAGAGACCCCGTCGAGTCGATCACACCCAGCACAGCATAGCGCACCATACATAGCCGAGCGTCGATATGTCCGTCACGATTGAAGCTAATGCGACTGAAGAGACCGCCGCGCGTCTGGCGTCACTTGGAATAGCCGCGTGCCAGTTACAATACATAGTCGCGTGCCCACGTACGGACCGCCAGCGCTGTCGGAAACGGGAAGAATGTTTACGGATAGCTCCCACGTCCTACCGCCGCACATCGAC